ATTCCTGCATATTTGCTCAGTGTCTGGCTTTTAAGAAGGACACAGAGCAGAGTGAGTGCCCTCGGCTTATGTAAATCAACAGGACTGTTGCAGTTGCTTCGGCTCCACCTGTTTACACCAGGCTGGATTCCCAAAGCTTTTCCCCATCCCTGCTCTCATCCCCAAGGTTTCTGGCAAGACTGGTTAAACTAGAATACAAGCGAGTGGCGCAGGACAGGCCTTTCTGCGCAAGCTCCGTTCGTGCAGGGGGGTCGGTGCTGCTGCGCAGACATGGGATGCACATTATGCTTTAACCAAAGCTGCTCTCCGCAGCAAGGCTGACCTTGCAGAGAGAAATACTTCGTGTGTCCTGCTGGGTCTGCCACAGGGTTTGCTCGGCGAGGCTGTGAGGTTTCCTTGCTTGTGATGTGCATCCTGAGAGACTTTGCTGGGAGCAAGTAGAGGAAACGATGCTCCCGTGACTCCAAAAATACACCCATATCACATTATTAATGAAGGGCGCAAGCTGCTGGAATTTAAGCTGTAGTTAAGTACATCTTAAATGCGGATCAACGTAAAGGTTTCAAGGCAAAAAGGGACTAGCGTGATCGTCCAGTCTGATGCAGGAAGAGCAAATCCGAGAGCTGCTCCTTAGCGCTGTGAATGTCCCATCCAAGCGGAGCTGCCACTGCAGAGCAGGACACTGTGACAGGCACCTGGGCTGCTCTCGCCAGTAGCCACCTCTGTGCAAAACTTGGAAAATTGCAACGCTTTCTACCATTTAATTACAGTAATACCAATTTAAAAAATCTTACAAATCTGGCTGTTTCTATCTGAAGAATAATTTTCCTGGTATAACGTCACCTCCTGGGTACTGAGCAGGGAACTCCAAGCTCATCCTCTCCACTTGCCTTAACTGCAACCTATATCACAGCACCGCTTGGCTCCCTGCTCCTCCTTCCTCCTCAAACACGTTTATTCTCCAAGTTGGGGAAACGGCCTCTCTTGCTGCTGAACTAACCACCCTGTTGCTGAGATGGGGCCTGCAGCTCTCGTGGAGGAGACGACGTGTCCGGCAGGACTCCCCGCAGCGAGGCCGCGGTAGAACAAACTATCCCGCATTGCCTTACAGTTGAAGCTATTGAAAGCGACCCTGTATTTAGCCAAGAAAATCAGTATTTCCAAAGCCAGAACGAGAGGTACGAAGCAGCGGTCAGAAGGGCTGTTTATCTCCAGAAAAAGATCCGTGAGATGGGATGGAGTGAGACCGGGCCTGAATTCCAGTACATTTACAGGTAACACTCTTTAATATACTTTTTTTTTTTTTTTTTCTGCTAAACTGCCTGTATATCAGCACAATGAGCTATGGTAAAGGCTGGGAGACTCTAGCTTTTGACAGACAGGCTTTGATATTAAATATACTGCAGGTTTTAATTTTAACAACATGCTCAGAAGAGGGGAAAAACTGTTATATGTGGGCAAGAACTTTTCAAGGAGCAGCTCAGAAACAGATACTTCTGTATGAAAAGCAGCTTGATAAATCACAGCAGTTCACACCACCAAGATGACATATCCATTTCAACATCTAGCCTGTGCTTCAGCGGTCACAATACTCAGCCATTTTTAAACCTATAATCAGAATTAAGTGGTGCTATTTCAGTTACACGACCGAGTTCCAGAAAATGTCCAGTTTAGTTTATCTAGAAAACCCATATTCTATCAAATAATACCAAGTTATGCTGGCATGATGAGAGAACTTAGTTTGTATATAAACGGAATAAAATATTTCCCACTATTCTTTCCTTCAGGATTTTCTCTTAATACTTTCTATGGAATTGAACTCACTCTTGTAATTGTTTTCCCCGCTTTTTCCCTTGCCTTTGCGAAACAGAGCTACTCCATTTGCTGCTGTCAGTTTTGCAGGGTTACATATTCACTACGGAGGTGAGAGTTTAAAGCATCGTTCAAAAGAGCGATGCCTTGATCTCAAAATACCATTGATGCTCTTCCAGTGTTTCATCATATAAAGAATTATAATATTTTATGCTAAGCTCCTTGCCTCCTGTAGCGAGTAGGACTGATAGAAGGGGAAAAAATCTTTCAAGAGCTCTCGGAGCTGATAATTACCTCTCCAAGCAGAAAGCAGCTCTCCACCCTCAGAAGAAAAATAGAATTTCCAAAGATTTTTAAAACCTTATGAAACTAAACAGCCCAGAGACTATCCTGCTCCTATGGGTTGAAGCAAGCCCCCAGATGCCACGGGTTTCAGCAGGGCTGGCCTCGTGCTGACACATTTTGCTGAATTAAGAACACAGGTTGCCTTCTTCAGCCAGGACACAGCAGGAGAGCGGCAAGTTCTTATCAGCAAGAAACCTGATACCTCCTGGTATTGGACAGGCTGAATTATTTGTACACAACTAAACCTGACTAAAACTAAAATTTCAGTCAAAGTCATATTGTTTCTGGATCAACTACCAAAAGTTTATTAAGTTATCTCTGTTCATCATAGCCATTTTCCTTTAAATTATTCTTTTTTCATTTTTCCCCACTTTTCCTGCATGACTAATTCTCTCTCGGCTCCAGTTAAAAAGACAGGTCATCATCATTTGTCTAAAACCAAAGGTACCTACTTAGAAACAGACTTTTACTTCAGTACTCCATAAAAAAGCTGCTAAAAATCACGAAATGCTAACAAGAACAGCAGTCATTTGTTCCTAGGAATATATGTACTCACATACCTATCTGTGAGGTGACTTAACCGTATTTCAAGGAATCCCAAGAAGAGGGAATATATTCCTCATATTTTCATAATTTCTATCGACAAATAAATCATTAAAACAAATGAGTTGCAGGCTTGCACCATGGAAATTACTACATCTAAGTGCTTCCAGCACAGTGCTTTTTAGGATGTAGAATGTACAACAACAAAGCAAACATCTAAGGGTATTTCCCCAGAATGGGAACAGGAAGGTCAGGAAATCCAAGTCTCAGATGACTACAGATATAATTCAGTGTAATACATCCAACACTGACTTTGCCACTGTTTTTTTCCTTTTCTTCCTCTCCACTTTTATCTCCCTCAGCCTTAAAACATGATTCAAATAACCGGGGGCTGGGGAGAACGCACCTAACAACGTCAAAAACGACAAGGAGAGTTAGCAAAGCTGTCCCCTAGTACTACCTGGTGACTGCCACACTTGCCACATTGCAATTGCCTCATTAAGCACAGTCCCCAAACTCTTGATCAGTCCCAGACACCACCTGTGCTTCCTCCCTAGGTGCCTTTCAGGAGATGTAGCCCTTCTCCTGCACCGTGTCTTCATAAGAAGCATTTCAGTACTGGGCTCTGATGAACAGATTGCCAAATGGATTCCTCTTGCCACTGACTACCGAATCATAGGAAGCTACGCCCAGACTGAGCTGGGACACGGTAAGAACACACAAAGAACGAGCAGCATTTCCAGAGGATGACAGGCCCTGGCCCAGTGCTCCGGGGAACTCAAGTTCCAACTGTGTGGAATTTTGCTGAGGCAGGAATGGCCCAGGGGGAAGGGGACACTTCCACCCGGGGCATCACTTTCCTCCTATGATCTCTCTGCAAGCTGCAGAGATTTTGGTTTTGCCAGCTTAGAAAAAGTTCCAGGAGCAAGGAGGAAAGCTTATGGCTAGATATGAAGCAGCCAAGATCATCAGAAGGGAGGGTCACCAACAGCCAAGCTGCTGGCCAAGGTGCAATTTGGCTTTGCCACCGTGTGGGGTTGCCGGGGAAATTGTTCCACAGCTCTCACCAGGAAGGTAAATCACAAAATCCTCATATTACTACAGTCTTTCAATTTTCCTAATCACCTTTTTGATACACTTGGGAATTACTTTTTGTTGTTGTTGTTGTTAAAGGAACTTATCTTCAGGGTTTGGAAACAACAGCAGTCTTCGATACTGCTACTCAAGAGTTCATCCTGAACACACCAAAGATCTCTGCAATGAAGTGGTGGCCTGGAGACAGTAAGTACCCCACAAAGGTTAATATTCATCACCACCCTCCTTTAGCTGTCAGGTCTGCCTCGTTCAAGCCCTATGTCTAGCAGGAGAAGATGCCAGTGGGAGCTGCCGAATATTTAAGGTTGAGTAAGAGACCAAAGAATTGCATAAAGACCAGGAGGGAGCCACCATTAGCACCCGTGGGTGGCAAGGGTGAAGAATTTCACTCAGTGAAACTCCCGCCTCTGCAGGAATCAGTCTTCTTTTCTTTATAAGTAATATTCAGGGAGTCCAAAATTACACTGACAGCAGCACACTCCAGAGTCCCCAGCAATAACTAAAATTATTCATACAGCCAAAGCACTCCCCGTTTAGTCAGTACTAGGTGTGCTTTAATTACTTTTTTTTTCCCCTTGCCCAATGATGCAAACTGGCCATCCATGCTTCACAGGCAGCAAGAGAGGCAGAAGGATTGCGTGACTTCTGAGAACCAGGAGCAGAGTCAGGATGCAAATTTTGCATTCCTAGGCTTCCAGCACCTACGGATTACACCTGCCTTGACTTATTTGTTAGCAAGACTGAACACACATCCCATGTTGACTGCTATTAACTACAGAGGCTCTTGAGGAGTATCTTGTCTGAAGGGAATGCTATTGTTTTTCTTCTAGTGGGAAGGTCAGCAACCCACAGCCTTGTCTTTGCTCAGCTCTATGTCCACGGGAAGTGCTATGGAGTGCATCCCTTCATCCTGCAGATACGCAGCCTTCAGGACCATTCACCATGTCCAGGTAAACAGCTCCAGACATCTGCAGGTGCTCTGCCTATTTTGCCCTTAAGTATTTTTGAGAACACTAAAACAAGGGAGAGTGAGCACAGATATTATAATCACCAAAACCAAATCAAGACAGGTAATGAAGCATAGCTGTTATTAACCCTAAACCTTTTATCTAAAGGAAGATTTTTTGTACCCTCAGTCAAACCTAGACTAAGTCTTCTTCCTAACCAGTGGCAGAGTTCCAAACCTGGGCTGCTCTGGCCACCTCTCCATCAACACTTCAGTCCTGACCCCAGCCAATATTTGTAAAAGGTGGTTCAAGCCAGCAAGATACCCCTTCCATCCCTCAGGCAAGATCACTCCTACTTAGTTCAACCCAAGCAGTGCCCTACCTTCGAGATCCCCAGCCTGTTATAAAAGAGGGAGAAAAGACTCCCAGTGGCAGTAATAAATAGGAGACATTTTCTCATTCATAGGAGTGACTGTGGGAGACATTGGTCCCAAAATGAATTTTCAGCACACTGACAACGGCTTCCTCCGGCTGCAGAACGTGCGTGTCCCCAGGGAGAACATGCTGAGCAAGTTCTGTGAGGTTCGTAAGCATTTACAGCACTGACTCAATCAGATTCTCATCACACAGCCAAAGAGATGACAGGGACTTGCCTAAATTTCAGCCAGAAATCTTACTTTTAGGCGCACACAAGTTTCTAAAGTTTTATCAAGAGTTGAAGTGATTGAAGTCCTAAATCTACTGCTATCTCAGGAATTGCATGTTCAGAAGTTAAGGATTATAGGATAGGTAGAACATATGAGACACAGAAACAGCATGAGTTTGTCTTTCAGCTGGATATATTTCATCCATCATACATGACAACATTTAGTTCTGTTTTCAATGAAATGTTCCAAGGTTCAGTTTATTCTGTGCATGGAGACTGCAGAAACATCCTAGGTAATGATAAGTCACAACACTGAAGAAAGAGGCAGCCAAAATGCTCTCTCTATTTCTAGGTTCAGCCAGATGGCACCTACGTACGATGGGGGTCCCAGAAGATTAATTATTTCACGATGACTTCAGTCCGCATTGCCATCCTTCCAGGCGAAGTTATACTGCCCCTCATGAAGGCCTGCACCATCGCCATCAGATACTCGGCCGTTCGCCGGCAGTCCAAGCTGAAGCCTGGGTAATGCGACTCGAGTGAGCAGCGCCGGGACCCTCCCGCAGCCCCTGTCCCTGTTTCGTGCTGGTCAATCACACAAAGGTGTTTCTAGTCTGTCTAATTCACCAGCATGGCAGAAAGTTCACATTTTTTTCCCTGGTCAGGCTTGTTTTTCCTAGCAGTGTAGCAAGTTGGATGGATTTGTTTTGCTGTCCAACCCAGAGGAAGCTCGGGGACAGGAGAGCAGGGACCAAGCTCTCCCCTTGGTGGCAGTGAGCTGCCACTAAACCACTCAGTCCTTTGCAGGTACCACTTCTCAGGAACCAAAGGCATAATTAAGGTAACCATACAGTCACTCCGCTTGCACCAGTGGCTTTCCAGGCCTTATCAGTTGTTTTCCAACAGGGAACAAGAAGCAAAAATCCTTGACTACCAAACACAGCAACAGAAACTGCTGCCGCAGCTGGCAACAGCCTATGCCTTTCATTTCATCAACACCTACCTGCACGAGCTGTTCAACAGGGGGTACCAAGACATCCAGGGCAAGAACTTTGACTCGCTGCCAGAGGTAAGCTGCCACCAAAACAGATCCTAAAATATCTTGCACTTATGCTACACCCCTCATCCTTAAATCCCAAAGGAAGTTGGCAGAATGCATATGTAATTCCACCACCGCTAACAGTAGAAAACCAGATCAAACAGGCAGCAAGTTAGCTTCACTGCCCTAAACTTTTGTAGAAGGAAAGGGGCTTGCAAAGCCTGTTAATTGGATTAAAATTTTGTTCTGATTAGCTGACAGTGTAAAGCATTATTTCACAACTTCATCTACAAATTCACACGCAAATACTCACTTCTGGGCTAGTAAACCTAATGATTTTTCAGGCTGAACAGAACATCTGGCATCTGGAAGCCTAAAATGAGAGCATGTTCTGAACAAGGGCAGCCAAAGTCACTGCTGGCTGCAAAAAAACTCCAAAAAAGCAACAAGTTTGTGCCCTGCATGAAGACGTGCAGAATTTGAGACAGAAACCAGAGACCAGGCTCAAATTTCCAGCGGGCAAAAGAGGTTCTGATGGCACAGAAACTGCAGAAACTTAAAATAGAAAATTGTCCTTTTTTCTATGAACGTACACACAGGATTGCTTTAAGACATTTTCACCATTAATACTCAGTGTGAGAGTTGTTCTTTGTTTTTGTTAAAAACAGCTTCATGCATTTTCTTCGGGTTTTAAAGCCATGGTTAGTCAACACTGCACTTCAGGAGTGGAGATCTGCCTCAGGGCATGTGGAGGACACGGGTACTCTCTGCTGAGCGGACTCCCTTCCTTGTACACTAGAATAATTGCTTCTTGCATTTATGAAGGGGAAAACACAGTTTTGTTCCTGCAAACTGCCAGGTAACAATTCAAATTTGTTCATCTAAACGCCTTCCCCCTAATCTTTTCAACTTCTATAACTTCTTCATCAAAACCAGTAAAACCAGCTGCTCGTTTCTTGTAACACCTTCTAAAAATACAACTTAGGCCATAAACAATTCATGTTTTCTCTCTAATAAGCATGGATGTGTGTGAGAACTGGATTGTCTCTTCTATTTTTGCTTGTGGGACATATCCAGATGCTGTTCTGCATAACCTCATTTTCCTCTTTGTCCAGTACTGCAGTAAAAACATTACCACACAAGTTTTGTGGTTTCTTTTTTAAAAGCAACAGATTTAACGTGGTATTGGTAAAGTGAGGTTGATGCAGAGAAGGCAAAGCTATTGGATACTGATCCTGAATAAGTAATGTTCCCAGAATACCACTTTCCTCAGAGCACACAGATTCATGATTATCTAGAATAGATGAAATGCAAGAGGAGGGAAAAAAAGGGAAGAAAAAAGAAAGCACATCTGCTTGCACTTTTAACAGTGTGGGTTTTTTTTTTTTTTTTTTTTTAACTAGAAGGGGAAAAACAATACACATGCCAGGGGAAAGGTGCTATCACACAGCTCTGTGCTTGCATGCTCATTAGTGCCTCTCCTTGCCAGATCAGCAACAAGGTCGAAAGAGAAGTGCTTAATGCTTTACTTCCAGCCATGGTCAACATAGGTCATGGCTGAGATGCATCAGTAAGAGCTGGGGAAATGTGCCTTGGACTCACATTTACCTCCAAGGAAAGAGAATATCAGGGAGATGTCTCAGGTTTGTTAACATGATGTGGCTGCATGGTGGGAATCAGAGCAGTTAAGTCCAAATCAGCATTAAGACTCCCAGTGCTGAGACTCAGGCCGCAAAGATGGTAACATCTTTAGTCATCCTGCAGCAGAGACTGCTAACAACCCCAGCCATTTCCTTTCTAAAATCCATCACTGCAGATTGCTGTAGATTAAATGCAGGAGATGGCCATTCCCGAGGCGCATCACACATCAGGTTCCTACCAGTAACAGGCAAAACAAACAGCTGCTACTTGCTTAGTCCATTTTGGACCACTGATGGGATGGGTCACACACCACTGTTCCTCACACAGCCCAGGGAAACCCAACCTTACCCGTTTGCACAGCATCCACTGCATGGAGATGGTGACAACAACCTGCTCTGACTGCTACCCTCTCCCCAGGTTCCTCATTAAGTGCTTCATGGCAGCGAGTGCTGGCCAGCCCATTCCACCATCTGTCACTTACTTGTCTTCAGTGAAACCTGGGAAGTGCCCAGCCAAGGACAAGTCGGATTTTCTCAGTCCAGAAACTTATCTGAAGGCCTATGAACAAATGGCAATCAGGTCAGTAAGCAGGAAGGGAGAGCAGCTCTTGGTCTGATATCAGAAATGTGTTGCTGGTCAGCTTCACTCAAGAGAGGTACAATAACATTAAATTCAACAGGGACTAACACCACCTGCTCCTGAGAAAAGAATCCTCACACAGAATTAATGCGCATGCCAAATGCTGATTTTAAACTTACACATTCAGAACAGAAGTTTTTATGTTATATGCTACATACCACAGCTACATCCCCTATAGAGTTGACTCTGTGCACAGCCGATGACACTATGTAAATGAATCTCAAAGCACGTCATGGAGATGTCATCCAGTTAGACCTTAAGGCAACTGGACCCTATGTAATTCTATACGGCAAGTTAAAATTTCACATACCTGAAAAACTGATGTTTCTTTACAATTAATATTGCAGCAAGCACAAAGTCTCTTATTCTGCACGTAACTGCTCAACTACACAGTAAATTATTCAATACAAATAATAATGCCATCATGAACAATGCACATTCAGAGGTAGCATGTGTATCATCTCTGAAAACGACATGAACAGACAGACAATCTTGATGTTATACAAACCACTGCAAACAGGAGCAGGATTTGGGTTAGATATTTTTGTCACCTTAGCTTATTTTGCAATCTTCCCCCCCTACCACTCTGGGGAAAAAACAAATAAAACCCAACACACCTCAAAAGCTTCCCCAGGAAACTACAGTGGGAGCTGTGGCAGTGAAAATCCTTTAGTACCCAGGTGGTGTGGGCACTGGGCAGCAATTTGTACTTAGCTCATTTTGTATAATTAAACTTCTCCCATATGGAATATGGGCAAGGGGAAATTTCGGAAATGCCATTTTGCTGTTGATGGCCACAGGTGACTAGGAAATGAGTGCCTGTGGGCTAGAATATTTATGCAAGTTTTTTCAATTTCCCAGACTCATAAGCAGCAGCGCAGCTAAACTGCAGCACTTGATCCAGTCAGGAGTCACCAAGTACGAAGCCTGGAACCAGTGCACGGTACAGCTGGAAAGGGCCGCAAAGGTTAGCCCCATTTCTGTGCTCATCAGACTTACGTGGTTACAGTACAACAGGCAATAAACAGCACAGTTAGCCCAAAAATATTTCAATTATGGTTTTCTTTTTTTTGATTCATACCAACATCTAAGGGACACTACTAAGACCAGGTCCCACTGTGCTCTGAACAGTAGAAATTCATAGTGAGAAGCAATTCCTGACGTGAGGAGGAAAGGACAGGGCAGAGTGGAAACATGTGGAAGAAGAAACATGCTTGTGGGTGTGCTGCCACCTGCAACAGGATCAGGTCTCCCATAGCCTGCAAGCAGAACCCACCATCTCCAGCTAGTGCCCATCTTTTCACAAAAATCTGTTGTTTCTGGCTCTCAGGTCAAAGCCTCCTCTCAGTTTGCCTACTGAAATGCACCCATTTGTTGCATCTTTCAAAAACACGAGAAGCATTTATCCTCTCACATTAGACAGTCTTTAAAAACAAGAACTTGCTGAACAACCGAGCAAAGATTAGCTCTTAGTACTAATGTTATATGTGTTTACTTATTTACTGTGTGTTATTCTCAATTTTCACCTGCACAGATTCACCAGAAGCACCAATTATTCAAGGCTGTTAGATAGGAGGAAAAAAATAGTAGAAAAGTATCCAATTTCTTCAATAACTAAACAGAAGAGAACACCTGTAAACACAACTTAAAATTAGTTTCTCAGTAATTGTTCAACTGTAAATACATTTCTAGTGGAATGAATGCTTATTCAGAGATTGCCTCTAGGAAAAAGGAAAAACAAATACCACTCTCTGACCAGAGGCACACTTCAGTCTCCTGTGGCAATGGGTATTTAGAGTGCTGGAGTCCCATAGACAACGAGCAATGTATCATGAGCACAAGGTCTTCAACAAAACACATTATTTCCTTGTCAATGCAAAACCGAGACGCTACTTGCTAGAGATTAACATGAGCGCATTCCGATGTGTTTCCCTCATAAACTCTGCAGGGTGTTCACCAGAAATATTTGCAGTGAGTACTGCCATGCTTTCTGAAGTGTTTCCTAGCTTTTGCAAAGACTGCTATGTTGACCATTCACATCCCAACACTATTCCCTACTGCAGCAATAAGATGTGAATGCAAAAGGCATAGTGAGCGGCAGACAAAGAATACGGACTGGAAAATTGCCAGGGAAACGAAAAGGGTTTTATATCTTTGCAAGAACACTTGACTCACTTGGCCTACTAAAATGGTTAGAGGTGCATTCACTGCTGTGTTTGTTTTCCAGGCTCATTGCCACTACATCACTGTGAAAAACTTTGTGGAAACTGTGGAGAAACTTGACAACAAGGCCGGTATCCAGAAGATTATGAAACACCTTTGTGACCTCTTTGCATTACATGGTATCTTCACAAACATGGGAGACTTCCTGTACGACGGATACCTCACTGCAGCTCATATGGACCTGGTCACAGCATCGTACCTGGACCTCCTGGCTGTCATTCGGTGAGTTGCTCTAGCAGAAGAGGAGAGACACAGTGAGTCAGTTTGAACCTGCGACAAATGTAAAATGGTACTTCTATACCTATGCCAACAATGGCCCAGTCAATCTCACCTCACTCAGTTTTTACTTTTGTTGTCTGACAGCATAAGAAATTGATTGAATTATCTATGCAGAACTCATTCTCACAGCAAAACAGCATCTAGCACCCCTGAAATCACTAAATTCAAGTTCCGGAACATGAAATCTTGAATTATAAATCAAGAAATCTTAAAACACTTTCTGCCATTCGCAGTAGGGACGAAGCAGTCTGCGCAGCACTGGCAGGAGGGAGCCACAGCAGCCTCTAAGCACAGGCTGCAAAATCTGTTTAAGCAGCAGCTAGCACAGCTACCCCGTTGCCATGGCTGAGTCGAACCGGTACCCAGGCCATTCTGGCCAGCGACGGTTCAGATGCTCAACCTGACGACACAATCACACCTAAACAGAATTACAGCCAAATGTGATATGGGGTATGAGTTTACAAGAAAGTTTTCTCTTTGTAAAGAGCACCTATTTTGCACCACCTGACTCCTGAAATATGATAAGGTTTTGATTTACC